ACGTGTGGTGTGTTTTCGCAATTTGTGATTTTGGATCAGTTGTGTTTACTCGTTGTTTTCGTGCCTTGTTTTTATTGCATAATTTTGTTAAAATTTTCGTCGTGATTACTTCTGAAGTTGTTTCGAGTCTTCTGCATCCGTGAATGAATTGATTGATGTTAAAGACAGCAGATGGGTCGTATACGCCGGGGAGGCTAGGCTATTTCTGAGAATGAAATGCACACGGATATAATTGTTAGCTGCGGTCCGACACGCCGGGGAGAAAGAGTGTAAACGACTGAATCTCGCATGCGTCGCCGCTATTAGAACTGAGGCAGAATGAGTGACCAGCGATTGCAGTGGTAATTGGTAGTGAGTAATTAAGATGATGTGCGTAGAGTATCGTGAGGTGCTGCTATGGTCACGTTGCATTCTGCAAGAGTCATTCTAGGAAGTGGCGATTGTGTTGCAAGATGTCAAGAGGAGGTCTCTGTCTGGAGGCGCAGGTCGTCAGCGATGTGTGAGATTGTGCTGTGGGTATGCTTGTGGTGTGTTGGCTTTTCTGTTTGTTTTCCATTTCAGCTCTGTCCGTGTGACCCAGGTTCTCGCAATGGCATCCAAGTCAACGTGCATTGGTCGTGAAAGAAAAAAGGGTTGGATCCCATTTTTGCCGGGGAGTGTCAATAGAGTTGAAGATTGAACGATCGATTCATGGTTGTTTGCTCAAAATCAACTTCCCCAATTTTCGCGGAGGCATCAATACGACAGTCATCGTCTCATCGGTCGCTGTTCAGAAAGAAGAGTGAAACATCGTCAGAAGTAATACAGAGATTTATTATTGTAATATTTGTTTTCAGACCTTAGTTTCTTAGTTCGCTTATTCCTTTTATATGTTGGTGTAACAATACAGAAATATCAAACGGCCAATCGGTGTTTCGGTTTTTGCGTCCGTTATAACTAAGCGTTTCTGACAAATCTTCGAAGACACAGCGTGGTCCCGAGCGTAGTGAGAGCTGGGCATTAACGGTTTATGAGACGTGATTGACATAAAAATATAAATTTACATGAAAATGCATGCCATTTTTACAGGCATGATCAAGTATGATATAATATCAAATCGTAGATTGTCTACAAGTTAATGTTTCAACAGATAAATATTCGATACATATACATAAATACACTTATTGTCCGCACTAGGTTGTATAGTTATTGAATTGTACAGCTGTCCTCCAGGTTGAGCGGGAAAATGGACTTTGTTTCGTTTTCATCCCGTGGTTGTAGGCATACGATAACCAACCAATATTGAGGTAAGTACAACGTTTACAAGGGATTGAAAGCTGTTTTAGAAAAGTAAAAGTGCTGAGGTGAATCATTAAATTGTAATGAAATAGGTAAGTCTAAGTATCATTAATAAATGCATTAACAGAGGAAACTCCCTGGGCTGACAACGTTCATTTGCAATGTATAATGCTACACGTATATCTCGTACTATCATGATGTCTACTTTTGGTTTTAATACATTTATCCTCAGTTGTGCCAGTCGTTTTTGTTTTATACCTTTTTGTGCATTTAGTGCACAACCGTACCCTTCAGAGAGTAGGAATATAATAAGTCATAAAGAGCTGTAAAATGTTAGGTTTAAGGGGATATAATGAGGATCAAGTAAAGACGTTATTAGAAAATAAATGAGATAAGACATTGTGAAGTGGTATTTAAAGATCAGACAATGGACAGCAAGTTAGTTTATAAGATTCCCCATAAATCTGTGCAGAGCCCACATGGTCGCATCTCAACCATAGGCTGAGTGAATGGTATATATTTTATTTCGTAGATTCTTTACAACCGCTTTACAACTAACATGGTTAACAATAATAAAATAAAATTCATGACAATTGCTCAGTTAAATAAAAATCAAAAGTACATACTAATCACCAATCATATTTAAATAGGTCATGTAGTCCATGGTAGGCGAAGATTGAAGTCTATTGACTTTTGTAAACAAAGTTTCGGCTGTATGTGATTAATCCAGAGTGCTTCCATCACCCTCAGTAACCTTCAATTAGAGTTATGTGAAATTATTGTGAAACAGTCATTAATATTTATTTTGTGACCAGACATTAATAAGTGTTTTGCAATGGATGATGCTGGATTTCTATTAAGGTAAATCGCGTTGGGATTTTCTACATGAATTAGTAGCCATTTTGGAACATGGTCTTTTCGAAGACCACATTGGAACATCCTGTTGGTTTTAACCATATAATAAGTGTCATCGCAACTGCAGGTGAACTTATAGATGCAGTTTGAAGTAGAGTCCATATAATTTCGTCCTTTAATCGTAGGTACAGGGATAGAAAATGTTCGGCAAGTGAGAAAAAGAGGTTCGGCGTAGAATGTACGGTTGATGGCTGACCAAAGCCTTTGAGCTAACTGTCAACTGCGTAATCTGGTCGCCCTTGAATGGCAGGTTGATAAAGATAGCTTTCTTTGGTACAGAAGCTGTCTTTTCGAGATGTGGTCTTTCTTTACTGTGACAAGTGATAAAGTTTTCCGGATAACCACTAGCTAACGAAACTAAATGTATATGTCGAAACTCATCCATCAATGTGTCACTCGTGCATATTTTTCGGGGCCTCGACAAGAAACATTTTACTAGGGAACGTTTATACTGGATAGGAACAAAACTGGTAAAATGAAGGTATTATCCACTTCATGTCTGTTTACGAAATATAGATCGCTGAATCGTTCCATCATCTCTCCTAGTCGATTAATATCCAGGAAACCGAGTTTGTTATTCGATTCTAGTTCGGAAGTCACTCGGATATTTGGATGCATATGATTAAATAGGATGATAAAGTTTTCAAAAGATTTACTATTATTGCCAATAATGTGAGTATCATCTACATAACGTTTATACAGCACAAATATTCCAAGAATGCATTGCATTTGTTTCTCTAATTTCGATATATATATATCTGCTAACAGGGGCTATAGAGGGCTCACCATTGCAATACCATCGACTTGTTTGTGTAGCTTTACTTGGAAGGCGAATCTAATATTTTCTGCACAAATTAAGATGATGTCACCGATGTAAGCTACAGGAATAGGTAAGTTTATCTCATTGATTATAGTGTAAATGCAAATGAAATCAACAGCAGTGATATATGACGTGGTGGTTTCAGTGAAGTGGATATCGAGAAAACTCGATGGTGTCTAGTAATCCATATAAACTTCTTGAGTGTAACGGCTTTCGTGGGACATCCCTGACAGATAGGTTACAAGTGGCGGGACAAACACGGTTGTGTTTTACACGTTTTCAGGAGGTGCATACAGCGGCAAACTCTGGAGAAGAGACCAGGTTTAGTGGCGAGCTAAATGTGAAGTCAGCATTAACAAGTTCTGGCTCCACTAGTTTCCAAGGTATTACTAGTCAGAGTAAAGGTATAAAACCTTTAGGGATTTATGTGGAATAACCCAAATTGCCTACTTCTGTTATTAAAGAGTTTGAAAATGATGAATTCGACCAGATAGACGACGGCAAAGTGAATATATGTGATAATGATATTGATAGTGCACATTTGTCTTTGGTTGATCATGATGAGATGAGGGGAATGCCTACTACTACATAGGAGGATGGAAGCAGTGCGTAAGCCTCCCTACAAGGAACCAAAATACTCTTGACTTAATCCTCTGTCATAACATAGAGCCCATCTCGATAGAGGTGGGAAATAAACTCGATAACAGTGATCACAACATATTGTACTGCACGCCACCCCTCCGACTAACAACTAAATACGCACCCAAAAATTCCCCGGTGCGCTATCAATATAGAGACTATAAGAATGCTGATTGGGAATTCCTATCAGATCTGTTGAGAAGATCTGACTGGGAAGAATACTTCATCAACAATAACTTAGAAGTATCTTTTGAGATTTTCTACAAAACAGTTGGCTCAGCAAGAGACACAATCGCGCCCCTGAAATCTGCCCTAAAGACACCAACTCCATTTATTGACCGTAAAACGCGACTACAACTAAAGAAATTGGAAGGGAAATGCCACGTATTTAAGGAATTTAATGCGTTAAACCAAATACATGAAACTCTTAAACTGCATGAAGAGAAACACAAAATGAAGTCACAACATGAGGAAAATTAAGCACTTATGGGTAACACCAAAACTCAGGAACTTTGTAGGATATTGCAAAAACGTCTAAAAAGCAGTAAAGACAATAATGTAAGCAGCTTGGAACATAAGGGTATAATATACAACGATCCCCAGGCTATAAGTGAACTCCTCAGTGAGTGGTTTTGCAATGACACCAGAGTGCACCCGACCACAAATTTCCAAATCACCTGCAAAAGTAACCACAAACTAGGAGAAATAGATTTTAATATGCAAAATATAGACTCAGCGATTAAGACATTGAAGTCAAATGGCAGTACTGGAACAGACGACATACCATCTGTCATATAAAAAATGGTAGCACGGAAATGGTAGTCCTGTTACTTAGAATATTTACTTTGTCAATGGAAACTGGAAATTATCCTGAAATGTGGAAAAACACATACATATTACCTAAGCACAAAGCAGGGGCCAAAACCAGTGCATGCAACTATAGACCTATTAATATCATAATTAATTTATTTTCATATAAAAATAAATTAAAATGAAAATGCATGCCAATTTACGGGCATGATCAAGTATGTTATAATGTCAAATCGTAGATTGTCTACAAGATAATAAGGTTTCAACAGTTAAACATTTGAAATATATATATATATATATATATATATATATAAATACATATTGTCTGAACTAGGTTGTATAGTTATTGAATTGTACAGCTGTCCTCCAGGTTGAGCGGGAAAATGGACTTTGTTTCGTTTTCATCCCGGGCAGCCTGTAGACGGACGTAGGTCATTTGATCAGCTGATGGATATTGGCGTTATTTATTGGAAAAACGTCAAGGTCAGGTCATTTTTCGTTGTTTTTCACACTTTTCTACCTATATTCCTGCTAAAAGTGGATGAAATGCGGCCTATTTAGCAGAAAGAGCATATGGTGGTGTTCTTATCCGGACGTAGGTCACAGGCAGTTTACAGTTTCTTGAAAATAACGTATTTTTCCGTTCAGAAAATGTCTAATTACTTGAAGAAATATGTTATAAAGACTTTTTGTGAATTTATTTTGCAGTTTAATGGATTACGCATGGACATGATGAGGTGGGACAGCTCGTTTTGGTAATTATTTCAGTTACTTTGTTGTGTACTTTGCGTAAAATGCTGACAAGGCTCCTCCACATGTATTTCCTTAATAAAAATCTGCAGAAATACATAAAAATTATATATGCATAGTATTTCCTTATATGATGGCATAAAGTTGATGTTAGCAGGCAGATGGAATATCAACTTAGCATTATTGAAAGATGTTGACTAACATAATTATTTACAGTTGAAATCATTATTTTGTCATTTTAAGCATATTTCATGGTTAATTATTGTGTTTACACTGATAACAATGACTACATCTGTATAATTCTTATGTTCTTTTTCAGATAATATCTTCTTTCGGGAATTTCATGGATTTGGGTGATAAAGAAAAAGATACCTGCACTGTTGTCGATTTCGTATTACATGTTAATTCATTAATAAATGTATTCCTTGTTATTCGTTTGTTTATTCTACTTGATGAGACCGAATATTAGCCCTTGCGTAATTTGTGAGGTATAGAGTATATGAGGCTATCTTTGAAATACTAAGTAGGAGCAGATATTCGGAGAAGTCTATTGGTAAAACATTATGTTGTAGTAAAATAAAGTAAATATGTCTAAATCGTAGAGGAGGTATTGCGATTATAAAGCGTTTCGAGTTATCTATCGTCTTAGCAGAGTACATATACTGATTCGCGATTCCTAGTCACAAAGTGAGAGTAAACCTACCTGAGATAGTTTGCTTGTGATTTCTGCATGCCGCAATATACCATAAGGAGAGACTATACCTATGCTGTTAGATGTATGACTCAGTACAACTACGGTTATCGTAATAATTAAAAACAGAATGCCTAGGGTTCTCAGTCAAAGAACACGATACGTTGCAATCTGCTTATATAATCACGTAAACAAAAGTTTTCCAGACGCCGCATTTACTCCTAACAGTTTACCCTCAACTTCTAACTTAGCACGTGCTACTTATGTTACTGGAACACAATTGCATTACAACAGAATGAAGACAGATTCATTGAAAAATTGTTTATTAAACAAAATCAGATTTCAAATGTACAGATAATTCAGATGCGTAGTCCTATGTTACCGTCAGTAAGTTCCATCTGCGTACGCGGCACATATATGGTTTTCCATAAGTCTGAAAAGGTTTAAGAAAAGCATAATTAACTTGGGTATTACATGTATGATCTGAATAAGAAGATTTTCCTGATAAGCATTTACAAGTAATCACTTTACAAACAATATATATATGTAAATATAAGTAGCCCAATAGTTTTCACTAAACTTAAGGGACTACGCAACTTATCGTTTGTCGATATCTAGTAGGTCCATCGAAGCATCATGAAATGATAAAATTATTTAACGACAAGTTATGCAGTAGTTTTCAAAGCTTGTACAAATATTTTAGCAAAATTGACAACAATTTTATGACAAATAATAGGTCTAGACAGCAATAATGATAGCATTCATGATCATAGTGACTATGAAAACAATAATAGGTATTATTATCGCAACGAATTCATCATTAACTTAGACAACTAATAATTATACAATCATGTCAAATAAATGTATCACTTAATCTTAAGAAGCATGTGTTTACTTACTTTCACTGTATTCTCTCAATACTGATGTGCTCAACAAGCTTATTCCAACTGAATTCAAGATTAATTCTGAAAGTGAGTGAAGATCCAGCTTGTGTCAAATAAAAACATGTAACTTACATGCATTACACTGCTTACTGAGACATCTGATACCTGCTTTCGTATCTTTATGACAAGAGTACAGATTATCTAGGTTTACCTACATATACATAAGTATACGTATATGTTACATCAACCATGCCGTTTTTATCACGATTAATCAGACCACTGTGTATATTATACTTATTTGAGGATCTCTAAAAATAATTGTCAAGCGATAACTGAAGTTGCGTGAAGTTATTACCTCTTCAGAACAATGTTTGCATTCTTGACACTCCTGAGAAGTCCTTAGATTGTAATTTGGCATGAATTCGTTGAATTCAGCAAATAAATCTACTGCTATATCATCTCTTTCCTGAGCTGTAATAATTTGTGTTGTCAGTTATCTCTCCAATTTGATAAAACGCTCACGGAAATTCAGGACCTAACGAAGCAGCAGAATGATGTTTGAAATTACCTCAACTAAAATGACAAACTGGCCAATCACAAGCGAGCAAATCGCTTGTTTATCTCATTCGCGGTCACTCAAAATTACGTCCGTCGACAGGCTGCCTTCATCCCGTGGTTGTAGGCATACGATAACCAACCAATATTGAGGTAAGTACAACGTTTACAAGGGATTGAAAGCTGTTTTAGAAAAGTAAAAGTGCTGAGGTGAATCATTAAATTGTAATGAAATAGGTAAGTCTAAGTATCATTAATAAATGCATTAACAGAGGAAACTCCCTGGGCTGACAACGTTCATTTGCAATGTATAATGCTACACGTATATCTCGTACTATCATGATGTCTACTTTTGGTTTTAATACATTTATCCTCAGTTGTGCCAGTCGTTTTTGTTTTATACCTTTTTGTGCATTTAGTGCACAACCGTACCCTTCAGAGAGTAGGAATATAATAAGTCATAAAGAGCTGTAAAATGTTAGGTTTAAGGGGATATAATGAGGATCAAGTAAAGACGTTATTAGAAAATAAATGAGATAAGACATTGTGAAGTGGTATTTAAAGATCAGACAATGGACAGCAAGTTAGTTTATAAGATTCCCCATAAATCTGTGCAGAGCCCACATGGTCGTATCTCAACAGTATGCTGAGCGAATGGTATATATTTAAAGGCAGAAGCATGATCTGTCAAGGCGTTCATTATTATCTTTTTCAAGATAAAGATCTAAGCTCTCATAAAAATCAGAAATATCTCGAGCCTTTAATTTGTATATTGCTGTTCCTGCAGAATGGGGTGATTCACCTTAGTGACTCCCACCATATCTACTGATCAGCTAACGCCACCCTCCCTCCTTTTTTGATGTTAAGCTCTGAGACTATGATTATAATGGCTACCGCAAATATATTGCTTGGTACCAGACATGTTCGTACCTCATATCCCATCTCCCTAGGTTTCTTAATGAGTGCTTCCAATAGGTCTTCGCGTACATCTTTACGAACATATTATATATGTGTTCATGCATCCTAATGAACAGATTACTTTATAAGAAGTCAAAAACTTAAAGAGTAAAACGAATAGGTATTGTGAATAGCGAAGCAAGATTCAGCAGAACACTATAGTTAAGGTTCAATTTAGGTAGTATGGACTGAAGGTAAGTTCGGTTGGCAGGACTTAGAGTACTTATATATAGTAAACATCTGACATTACAAAGTAACGTGTCTAGACATATTATAAAAAGATGTTAACATAGAACCAACAAAATTTAGCATTTGGTTAACAATACTGCAGCGTGTGTATACTGAAGAATGGTAGTTAGTCTACAGGGAGCCGTAGAGTAAATCAAACCATATATGATAAGAGTATAATCAATAATATAATTCGTATAACAAATAAGCTTGAATTACAAAGATTGAATGCTCTCTATAACCAGAAGTTTCTTTTATGTAAATCCCCATCAAATATGTGGAAGTTATTAAAGGAAATCACAGGTGGTAAGCAAATGTTGAATGATATTTCTGTAGATGTTAACATGCTTAATGAATCCTTCATATGTATCCCAGCAAATGTTATGATTCCTAACTCAAATAGTGTAAACAATGACTGCTTCTCATGCTTAAACACGAATGATGTCCTCAAGTGTCTTCAATCTCTCAAGCCTACTCAGTCCCTCGGTCCTGACGGTGTTCCTGCTGTTATCCTTAAGAAGTGTGCCGACATCTTGTGTTCCCCGCTAACTGACATTTTCAACGAATCGTTTTCCAAAAGTATTATACCTGAATCATGGAAAAACATCAAGATCGTTCCAGTGCCTAAATCTACAAGTGGACCTAATGATAAGTTTAGACCAATTTCAATTACCTCACCCTTTTTGAAAGTTATGGAAAGACTTATTTTACTTAATCTTGATTCCTCTTTAAAACCTTTCAATGACCCCAACCAGTTTGCTTATAAACATAGTAGGAGTACGTTAGATGCCGCTGTCGTCCTCCACCATAGTATAGTCTCTAGTTTAGATAAAGGAGCTAAATACGTTCGCTATGCCTTCCCTGATTACACATCTGCATTTGACTCTGTTCCCAGGTCTCTCTTGCTAAGTAAGCTTGCTGCAACACAGGCTGAAAGCTGGACAAATAAGTGGTTGCATTCCTATTTTTCTGAAAGGAAACAGTACACCGTCTACAATGGAAAATCCTCCACTACCTCACTTACTTTAGCTGGTGTTCCTCAAGGTGCTGTTCTTTCTCCCTTTCTGTTTTCGTTTTTCTTACACGACTTGCCTCATTCTGATGTAGCCACTTTTGTAAAATATGCCGATGACCTCTCGGTTTCTATGCATGTCAACTGTCAGTCAGATTGTTCCAAATTAAACAGCATTCTGGCGAAAATTAGTCAGTGGTCCTCTTCAAACAGACTTAAGCTTAATCCATCTAAATGTCAGGTAGTCAATTTCACTTTGAGACGTAAACGTGACCTACAACAACTAGTTAGCTCACATGGCCCCACCCTCATTGACGGCACAGAGGTTGAAAATACATCTTATGTTAAGTACCTTGGGCTGAGTTTTTCCACCGATCTTTCCTGGTCTTCCCACATCTTGCTAGTTACTAGAAAGATGTTTCGCTTAACGTTCTACATTAGGAAATTTAGGCAGTCTGGCATAAACCAGTCTTTACTTTCTCAGTTTGTAAATTCTTGTATTTTACCCATCCTCCTTTACTGCTCCCCATTAGTCTTTCCTGGACTACTTAAGAAAGACTTTGCTTCGCTGAAAAGGGCACTAAAAGCTGTTAGTAGGGGAAGTAGGATATCGTTAAACCAACTGGTGAACACTACTGTAGATAGATATATAATAATAATAATGTATATTCTCGTATA